TGTGGGCAGCGTCCTGTGACCACTGTTGAAGGACTGGAGCACCAGCACAACACACACTAACACACCACCACCACGTCAGTGTTACTGCAGTGCTGAGAATGATCCACCACCCAAATAGTACCTGCTCTGTGAGGGTCCATGGGGGTCCTGACTACTGAAGAACAGGGTAAAAGGGGGCTAACTAAGTATGCAGAGAAACAGATGGACAACAGTCTGTAATTGTAGAACTACAAAGTGCAACTATATAGTAAGAGGAGCTGATAAAATGGACAGTGAGCATAGAAACAAGGAGGTGGTCATAATGTTATGCCTGACCGGTGTACATACATATATGACCTCACGCACCAACTGAATTCTGTATAAATGCACCAGGTTTTTAAAAAACATTGTGATGCTCATGGAATAAACTTTAATTAGTGTGTTTCTCAACAACTACAGCTACTGTTAATGAATTACAGTGCTTGACTGAGAATATATTTATTGCTTTTATTTCAGTTTTTTCTTTGTTTATTCTTTCTTTATCCTAATCTAACTTTTAATTTATAATTTAATAATTTAGCTATAATAATTTTTTATTTGATTTTTAATTTAATGATTTTCTCTTTTTTTATTTTAATTTATTTTTATATTATTTCATCATGTTTTATTTGTTTTAAATGTTATGTTTTTTCTACTAGTGTTTTTCAACAACTCTGTATTTTCTGACTCTGTATTTTATTTTATTTTTTTTATTTGTAAAGCACTTTGAATGACAGCAGTGAATGGAAGGTGCTATATAAATAAATTTGCCTTGCCTTTTATGTTATTTTTTAAAATATTTTTATAATACCGCTCACCATGAAGACTCACCAACAGAACAACCCACACCTGCAGAAGAAGTGAGAAAACATAGCTGTAGTAGGTTATATCAGACTTATTTTTACTGCTAAAACATCAAAGATAATACATTTCCTCTCTATATTCAAGTAATGGAATCAATATATGATGTATGAGTTAATCTGATTGGCTGTTGCAGCAGCATGCCTAAACACACCTCTTGATAAGCTATTCACTCTAACTCCGCCCCTATTTACAGTTGCGCTGCTCTGCACCAGAATAGCATCACGAAAACAAAAAAAAAACAAAACAAATATTTAGCTGCCACACGGATTTTTCGCCTCATTTTTGTGCTTGCGTTCTGACCACAGCAGTAGGACCCTTGTTAAAAAAATCCAAACACTGGGTAATTAATTCTAGAAAGGATGTGGCTTTTTTGTGATTCGCATCAAAATTCAACATCCCACTCAGTGTAGACTTTAACATCACACGCCTGTCATTTGGTCTGTCGCAGGTAAACTCCCCCGTTATGAGCAGGCGTTTTTCTCCACTGTCAAAGCTGGTTTATCTCGTAATGGAGAGGGTTAAGCTTTGCATATGGAATCCAGCCTTCTCCTGCATCTTTCTTCACTGCATAAACATCTCTCTCTCTCTGTGTCTCTCTCTTTCAACTGCACCATTCCCTGCAAACAAGACAGACGCAGTCTTTCATCATTCTGCTTCACAAGCGCGCACACCCATTCCCACTCCCAGCCAAGTGAAATCAAAGCAAAGTTTGCTGAAGTGTTCTGGGGTTTTGTTAATCAGAGCATTGTGGTTCGGTCCTGCTGTGTCGGCGCCTCTTTCTCTCTGCCTTTAATTAATAGCCCCCTCCTCTTGCGCCCGGAGGGCCACCGGCCCCTGAGGGAGGATGACACCAGAGATGGAGACTCCTTTAGGGATGTGTATTTTTTTCTCTCTCGTCTTACCCCATTTATAGGACACACAAGGAGGCTGGGGGAGTCTGAAATCTTGACACTTTTTAAAGTTATTTTTAGCTGTTTTGGTCTCTGTTAGAAGACTCTGAATAATGACGTGCTCACAGCCGGCGCAGCATCATTAGAAGGAGTTCGTTTGCACTGTATTTAGGACTGAGGTTTGTATGCTGTTTGGGGCTTTAAAGAAAAAGACTCATTCTGCAATAAAGCGGAATCTGATTCAAAAAAACGCAGAAGAAAAGGCTGAGTGACAGAACCTTTACCCTTTAATATCCGTCTGTAATTTTTGGTCTAACACCTGTGCGGTTATCTTGTGTTCCCCAGAGGGAGCGATGGAGGATTTTATCCAAGCCTGCTCTGAATTAAGACTGCACCACCGCCTATAAACTAAGACACTAACCTCATCCTAGCCAGGCAGTTAAATTACCTGGACAGACAGTGACAGTGCAATGAAATTAGGGGAGGGGGACGAGTGACAAGGTGGAATTTACTGCCCGTTTCCTTCACGTGTGGAGCAGATAACCCATCAAATTCACTTTACTCAATTCAACTTGGCAGCCAGTCCAATTGGCAGGGTTCAATGAGACTACCACAGCTCAAAGGGACTTAAAATGTTCTAAAAAAAATATCATTTTTAAATCTTATATTGTAATTTTGTACAGTCTGACATGACTGGCAGTTGTCAACTGTGGCTGTTTAACTGTCAGTTGTCAAATGTCAGGTGAGAATTCTTAAACTCAAATAAGTAAGGAAAAAATCTAATTTTCCAAAAAATTCTGCATGATTATGATGGAGATTTTGAACAAATATTGCCTTAATTAGTAATCAAATAGATTAGACACTGTAATCAATAACCAAATAGGTAGTATTGGCTAACAGAGAATATTAATTCTCTCACAAAGGGTTGGCCTTAGACCATCTGCATAGGTGATTCTAGACACTGGAAAGCCCCTGGGTTCAAAGACAGGCCTGTGTGTACTTACTGACCCAGTGAAAAGAGGGGCAAGTTGACCTTGAAAGGTAGAGCACGCTGGTAAAAACTGGTTGAAACCAGTTTTCAGGAGTGAGCTCAACAAGCGATGACCAAATTGATGAACGAAGAGATGCATCTATTAGAGAATGAGCTAATATTAAAATTTGAGAAGTAAGGCGGGGGGATATCAAATTACCCCAAATAAATGGTATATACACTGTTGTTTGGAACACTGTTTGCACACTGTTGGGTCTCTCTCTCTGTGCCACCTGATGCTGAAATAAAGAAGCCGTTTTTCCTCTTCCACAAACTCAGCGTCTGAAGACTCTTACCTTTTTGACATCTTTTGAGAACTTAGACTCAGAACAGTAATTAGTGTAAGTGTTTAGCCAGTATTAAAAGATTTCTTTTTTATTCATAATATTATGTTAGAGGCCTGGAGTTGAAGGGGATAGCCTTTAGTCCCGACAATTACACAGTTAAGCTGTTAGGAAAGTCATTCAAAATGTTTTGATGTGAAATGCACCAGGACTTTGGAGCAAAGGAAGAAGGTTGCCGGGTCCGATGAGTCCCGTCTTCTTTTAATTCACATGCACAGCCAGGAAGTGCACCGTTTACCCAGGGGTGTGATGGTACTGGGATGTGCTGTGGGGGGAAGATTAGTGGAAGGCGTGTGATGCACTGGGTGATATTCTGCTGGGAAACTTTGGGTTCAGGCATTCATGAGGATGTCAGTTTAACACGTCACCTACCTCAACACCGTTGCAGACCAGGGGCTGCATTACAGAACTTCTTAAGCCTGAAATCTTATTTGCTTAGTCACCATGACAACTTCATTTAGGACTGAGTCTGGGACAGAGGCTATTACAGAACAACAGTTCTTATGTTAATCTTATCCTAACTCCAGATAAGAAAACAGTATTACAGAAACGTCCTAACTAGACAAGATTTCCTAAATTCTGTCCTAACTTTAAGAACCCTAGAGCTGTATTAACATCTGTTAACCGTGTTTCTACTGTTTTATGCAGTGTGAGGCAGCACAGCTCACTATAACCAGCATAATCACGCTACATTAATATACTGAAAACGGTGCTTTGATTATGAGAGTTTTTTCTAACAGTTTTAAAGCCCCAGATGCTGCAAACACCTCCAAACATCTCCACTGTCCCCTCTTACTACCCTTGTGTGTTAATGTTGGTGAAAACTCGTCAGATAAAATATTACAGTGATAGTGTAACATCGCGGCTGGACTGCATTCAATACCATTACAGAGCGGCAGTTTAAGAAAGATACTGTCCAAAATTACACTATTTCAAGAATATTGCACTCAGAAAGAGGGATAGGATTATATAACAGAGGCAACGCAGCGATCCATGCTCATGTTTGTGTGATGTTTATGTGTAGATATAAGGCCGTGTGGTTGGTAAAGCAATGAGAACCTGTTGATGTGATTGTTTTTCCTCTGGTTTTATATTAAGCTTATTTCATTTAATAGTCCTTACACTCCTTAATCCGTGTCGATATGTATAATAGATTAGCACCTAACCTGAAGTTAGCCAGCTTCTTGTTCGCATTTTTCCGTTCCACCTTAAATGGTGCATCTGCCAGCATCTTGTTTGAATTTTCCAGTTCCACCTTAAATGGTGCAGCTTCACGCACTAGAAAGTGACTGCTGCACCATTTAAGGTAGAACAGGAAAACTCAAACAAGAAGCTGGCGAATAGGAAGCCAACATAGTTTCGTCCTCCTGTGTATAAAGATTAGAAGTGATTCACCAACATGTTTGTTATGATTACGTGTTTGTTTCAGCTGTGCGCGTACAGTCGGTTGCTAGGTAATAGGCATGACAGTTGATTGTCGACTTCGATCGAGCAGGTTAGGATTTCCTAACTTGAGATAAGATGCCATGAGATAAGATTTCTAAGTTAAGATAAGATTTGCTTCTGTAACACGCATTTGTGAAATATCTTATCTTTACCTGTCAGATCTTAAGACAAAAAGATAAGAAGCTTCTGTAATCCGGCCCCTGGTACACTCCTTCATGGAAATGATGTTCCCAGTGGCCTCTTTCAGCAGGGTAAAGCGCCCTGCCACGCTGCACACATTGTTCAGGAATGGTTTAAGGAACATGATGAAGGTGTTGCCCTGGCCTCTAAATTCCCCAGATCTCAGTCGGAACCAGCATCTGTGGGATGTACTTGAACAACAAGGACAAAAGCGCATGGACATCAAAATAAAGAACAAAATAGCATTTTTATTCACTTTTTTATATTAGTTCCATATTTCTTTAGAAAACAAGATGAATATCTATAACATTCACACAAACAAAGTAGAATGTGCAGATTAAAAATAATTTTGTCTCTCTTTCCAGTAAATATAATATTTGGACAGTTCAGAAAAATAAAAGCCCATCCATCCCTTTTTGTAAATAAACTCCCAGAGAGCGTGGCCCTCATCTGGGAAAGGGAGGCCAGGCTACAGATCTGAAATCCAAGTCCCATATTCAGTCAGGACTAGTACTACAGAAATTTCAGACATTTTTTTTTTCCTTTTACACAAATATACGTGTAGCGCAAGACTTCCCAGCACATTACTGAATACTGAACCATACAATAGTAGTTCCCACATAACACTTCAAAGAGAAAAATCAAGTGAAGAGACACCTGACAACAGCAGAGATTACTGGGTGTTTCAGTAACTTTTAAAAGACACAATAAAACGAGGCAAAAAGAATCGTCTTAACAGTTTTGAGCCACCTGCGTGTTCACTCGGCTATCTCACGTCTGATTAACCGTTTAGATTCGAAAACTCTGTGAGCAAACCCAAACTGAGTCTTTCCTCATCTCTCGATAAGTGAAAAACATCGTTTAGCAGTAACGTGAATTCTCACAGCTAATGGCAACAATTGATAACGTGGATCTTTGCTGGTATTTAAAGTGGAAATAAACAACCTTACAACCCATAAAATGATCCCACACCTGCAGGACTGCCTGCTTCTCCCATCAAATGTTCATTAATTATTTAATAAATGGCTTTTTATGTTTGTGTGTAACACATGTCCCCACTTGCATAAAGGTTAAAACAACTACAACACTGAGCACATGCTGGTAACAACTTACATTTGTTTTCTTTGCACAATTAAAACGTGCAATTTTGCACAATTTTGGTTCGGGTAAAATTTAGGGAAGGGAAAGAGAACATTTACAAAAACAAGTAAATAATTAGCTTTTAACATTCTTAATTTTTAAGATGTACAAGACACCCCACTGAATTGAGAATCAGGGAACAAAACTTGAATGTTCTCCACATGAAAAAAAATGATGTAAATTGGACAAAATAATACTAAAGTGCTGATTCAAACTATGGGTTTATCAAGTAAACGGATAAACACCTTCCCAATTTGAAATGAACATTTAACATTAAGGCCTATTTCCTCTTATCATGGTAGTCAAAGTACAACAATGAGTACCTAAACAGTCTTCAAGGGTTCAAAGAGGTACAGCATTGATTCCATTTGTTTGGCTTCTGTATCTCCAACCATGTTCATGGAGAGCAACCTTCTGGATGAGTTTTGCTCCAACCGTACATTAACACCCCCAGGCACATCTGGATCAGCTGTTAGGCTGACTTTGCATAGTGAAACTTTCACACAACCAGCTGCAGGTTGTAAAGTTGCATGAAAAAGAATTTCCATAAACCTGCAAATAGGCAACATTATTTCAAAAAGATTAACTTTCTTCTCCAATATGTGTTGACTGAAATCAATCAGTTTAAAGGACGAATCATAAATAACCATTTCACATGATTACACAGTATGTTATCAGTGTTTTGATATTAGATGTGAAGCACCTCATGGACCTTGCTTGTAACTCAACAGCTGGGTATCCATCCACTTATTGTTATATATATTTTGGCATATCAAATAAAAACGACTTGATGGAAATGGCAAACAGCAACATTACGCTTGCTTGAGGGGGATAGAAAGAACTTTTTTTTTTTAATCATAAATAACATATTTGTCTAACTGATCATGTGTTTTCGTTTTTGCCCAGCTGTATCTACATAACATGGCAGTAAACCCTAACAGGTTTCAGTGGAATGACGAACAAATTAAAGCATAACTTTCACTTATCAAAAGAATAAAATGTAGCAGTGATATCATGTGGTAAACAAGCATAAAGTGTCTGTAGCTGATCTTGAGCAATTATATTGGTCATTGTGTTTATAATACTCTTAAGATATAAAATATAGCAATAAAATGAAACAAAACAGCAGGAGGAGTTCTCACTCCATGTTTCTCTGAAGTGTTTTTACAAATGTGACATAGAGAGTTTTATTCCCCTGATAGAAACTCACATAGAAAGTCACAATGTTTTTGTGACATTTTAGTTATTTGCTTGAATTTAATTTGGCAGCTGGATGAAACCCTGGCTACTCACTCACTTTTAGCAGGCTCAAGATTCTCCACTAGGGGATGCCCTTAAGCTGCATTTGGTGCTTCACATCACTGACACTATGGCTATGTTCACACAACAAGTAAAATCTGATTTTTTTTAGGCTGTTCACATCTTTTTAATGTGACCTTTATCTGACATTAGTCCGAACAGATCACACTCCTAAACTGACCTGCACGCGCAAAAGAAAAATGGGCCTCATTTACCAATATCTTCCCACATTTCTTCTTAAATGTGTTCTTGAGAAAGGGCCTAGGAAAAAGTCTACATCAGATTTATGACGTGTTCTAAAACTGCAGAACTGTTCACACCTTTGTGTTCTTGATTGTGTGTAGATTCTGTTCTAACCTATGAACAAATCCCAAATAAGAAAACACTGAATGTCAGAATCTTCTTGAAAACTGCATAAGTGAGTTTTAAGAAGAAATTTCTTCTTTTCGGACGATTACTAAATGAGGCCCAATGCTTTACGTGGCACCCGCATCCAGAGGTAAACAATCAAAATGGAGTCAACAGTAACAGCCACTAGCCTAAAGTTACTGCACATTAACATGAGTGTTAGAGGTTTAAGTGTCATCTTCGGCAGCATCACAGGCACTATCAAGAAGTTCTGATAGCTGGACTTGTTACCCAGAATTCATTCAAGCTCGCTGTAAAATGGGCACGTTACTCTGCCTTCCAATTTTGTGCGCACAGAAACATCAGCCCAAATGTTGAAGAGGTCTGTTACCTCACTGTCACATCACATATGAAAATAAAAATTGGATATGTGCCACTTTTCCCTGCTGTGTGAATGTAGCCTTTGTGTCCATTTTTCACAAATTTGAGATGGTTGCAACTGTTCCAGCTTAAGTGAGCTGCAAAAAAAACAGCTTCAAGTGAGCTGCAAAAGGCTTGACATCATACAACGTGAATGAATTTTAGCTTTGTGTAAGTTTTAAGCAAGTAAATTTGCATGAAAATTCCACCATGTAAAGTCGGTCTTCGATCAGGGCTGGAGCTAAACCTTGCAGGAGGTTACATTCTCCACCAACAGATTTGGAGATACCTGGTTTAGCGGGAGCAGCAGTTTTGTCAACGTCACAAAAATGCTATAGTTGGATTTACAATTAGTTGTGAACAGCCCGTCAACATAGCGCTGCTGTCACAAGAAAACTTCACTTATCTTTCTGACAGCTCTTTCTTGGCTCTTCATAGCCTCAAGGCTTCATACTACAGGAGCACAAAATCAACTCCTAACAACTTGAACTTTCATAATAATTAGGCCAAAAGAGTAGAAAGACACTTTTTTCCATTTTCTGAAAATGTTTGTTTTGCAGATGTGAAGTTTTCACAGAACAGCAGCGAAATTCATTTCCCCTTTGTTTTCTTTTTTTTCTCCTTATTGGTACAACTGCAAGACAAAAGTTTGCCATCAGGAGCAAAAAACATGCATAAGAACATTCCAATATCTGCCGAACGATAGATATTCAACATGTTGTACAGTCTTACAAATATAGAAACAATTTTGTTATGAATTTCTGCATACAATTACAGAATACCACTCTCCCACATCCCAAACATAGGGTATATCAATAACATTGACCATCATACAGAAATACAATCATGATCAGTATAGTAAAAAGGTATGGCTTTCTTTCTTTCTAGCTTTCGTTCCTCTTACTTCAAATTGAATGACTCGTTCTTTAAAAAGGATAAAACTGCTTATCTTGAATGACTGAGTGTGCAGTATATTGATTTGTGCTGATGGGGTTCATGTCTACTGATGGTAAAAGTGTTGCCACAACTGCGGGAACAGCAGTCAAGTGTAAAAAGTGTAAGCCATTTAAAAAAGAATGCAGTACATTACAGACCTAAAGCACAGAAACAGTTCAGGCTTTCTCAAGCACAAGCAAGTCCAGTCCTCTAACTGGAACAAAGTTATGTTCCATAATTTACAAAAAGCATGGATAGTGTAGGGGAGCACAGAGCACAACTGAACACAGGATAAAATGTAACAAGGACCTTTTATGCAGTCAACCAGGTTCACATAGAAGCTCTCGGTCACCTTCCAACATTATCTGCCAATTTTCACAGCAACAGGACATATATTTCCCTGAATTCACCTTTTAGACTGTTTTGATACTAAGAAAGTAACTTTTTTAATCATAAATGTTTTGTTTATACCGAGTTGTGTGTATAACTGACAGATTTCACATCTATGCTAATTTAAATACCCACTTGGTGGCTGTACTATAGCACAGCTTTAGGTTTAGTTTTAACACAGTGTTGCATCGGAGCCACTCTGTGTAACCAATAAGAACAGTCCATATCGGCGCTGTCCTTGTATCTTCACTTTTGTTGCTTTCCCTCTAAAAATGCCAACTGCTACTGTTATACACTGTTAAAATTAGTCCCTCAGCCTGCTACAACCAATCGGACAATTATGGGCAAAGTTGTAATGTTGTCCTTTTGGCTGAATTGTTCACAAACTGTAGCCGTTCAAAACAAATCTTATATTTTATTTTGTAGCAGAAATGTGTAGCTCGCTTGTACAAAAATAGAATTAATTTTGCATGAATATTTTAAAAATTATTTATCAAAAACAAAATGTGTTAGGTTGTGCTCCGCTCTCTCCTACTGCATGTTCTGCCTTCTATTATTCACCATCAAAAATGAAAAAAGTAAAATCACAGTGACAAATCAAATATTGCAGGCCGTGTTATTAATAGCCTGAATTATCTACCGTACATAAATCAGAATGAAGTGCCTCAACCCTGCAGAACCAAAGCTGTGTGAAATGGCTTATACTTCGTCACTCACTACATTCTTAAAAATAAAGCTTCCTAAATGGTTCTTGGCTTAGACAATATGGCATATGGCTGTATGAAAATGTTTTACTAGTATACAGCCTTTTCAATACGAAGAGGTTCTTTGAATATGCAAACGCTTCTTGAGGTGTGCTGAGCTAAAGCTAGCCCCAGTCATGGCGTTTAACAATTGGGCTACTATAAAGTGGTAAATCTAGCTATAGAACATTAGAATAAAGAACACAGTAGCTCCCCATTGTGTATTTTAGTCATTCGGTCAACTTTTCATAGTTGTCAGCCTTTTGGCTCAAACATAACTGCATTTTAATGTAGGTTTTGTGTAAGTTTAATAGGGTTTTGGGCTTTTTACTTAATTTACATGCTAATGTCTGGCCACAACGTGCATACGAGGAACACTTTTTAAGATCTTGGTGCATTAATACAGAATTCAAATGAGGTGTGCGCTCATAAGCGCGCCCACGTCTACGTGGCCCCAGAACTATCCATTTTATAAATGTTGTTTAATATTTTGATGGATTCTTAGTTTAAAGCTTGCCGGTTAATGATTAAATCGCTGAGTAATAACAGTCGGTTAATGGTCAAAAGAATTGGAAAAATGTGCATCCTCATCCTCACTTCAAAGACCTTTTTTTGCACCTTTATTTTTAAGAATGTAAGCTTAAGCAAAATCTCAGTCTGGTAAAGCTACTAGTAGAAAAAAAGCTTTCCTACATACACAAGACAAATAAAGAGGAAAGAGCTCACTCATTACGATTTGAACACATTTTTCAGGCTGTGTTCTTCGGGATGAAAAGAGTATTCCCAACGCACTATCAAAGTATTCCATGAGACGACCACTGAGATCAACCACTCTGAACTCCACACCAGCAATTCAAGTAAAACTGAATTATTTACAGACATTTTCTACTTATTGGTGTAGTTGTAAGACTGAGACCGTGAGTGTCTATGCAAAGAACATTCGGCGTCTGCCCCAAGGGCTTGTAGGACATCATGTGTAACTTAGGCTACCACTGAGGAGTAATTATACTGCTGAAACATGTGGGTCTACTTGCCAGATTGTGCGAGATGGTGGTCCAGATCCACATCCGCAAAAGTGCACCAACAAGATGACAGATCTACCAGTGAGGTGTGTTGTGTTTTAAAAATGACATTTCTACCCCAAAAGCACAAAACACATAAGAGGGGAAAAAAGGCCCCAGAGGAGGTCAAAATCAACAAAAGCGGCTCAATGTTTTAATTGGATCATACCATCTAACTGGGTCGTACTATTAAATTACAATTACACAGATATATTAAGCGTAAGAGTGCACAAATCTGCAGTTCTCTTCAAAATCGTAAAAGAAACAGCAACAAACATCATTAGCGCAGGAGATAAGGTGGAAAAGTTTGACGTTGAATTGCTTTTGAACTACAGTGTAGATGTCAGAGTTGAACTCTAGAGACTTTTGCTCTGCACAGGATAAATTACATACCTAAAAACTAACTGCTTTGTTACACAGACAGAACAGGCTTGTAAATCTGTACATTTGCAATATGCCCTGTATGTTTATAATTGGCAAATGCTGCAGGGCAGGCTGCTGGAAAAAAAACTCAGCAGGCTGTTCGAGTAAAAAGTGAACAGATTTTATACAGAGCCATGCTAATATCCCACAGCAGCCGGCTAGGGTGGGCAACCCCCTATCAAAATGTAATCAGCTGAAAATGAAAACGGATTTAAGGACTGCGATAAATTTAGCAGAACTAGCAAACAAGCTTTAAGACTTGTATCCCTTGCTGCCCACCCTGAACGAGAAAGCCCAGAGGCAGCCATGCAGCCATGAAACAGCTGCAGTAAAAAGATGGCCTTTGGAATCTAATATTAGTTTTGTTTGTCACTGAAAAAAAGGCATTTTTTCTTGTCTGTCTCACTAACACATTGGAAAAAACATAGTTCACAGCTTTGAGATGAGCTTATTTCTAAAAATACCCAACTTCCAAAGGAATTTCATTAAACACACATCAGAGAAAAGGAGTGTAGTGGTCGTGACACAATCGGTTCATACAAAATTACTGTGTACAGAGCTTTAACAGTTTTATATCGAACGGTTTTACTCCATCGTCAGCTATTTACGATGTGAAATACATGTTTATATTCAAAAATACCAAATGCAACTTACATTCACTGTGGATCTGTAGCTGTTAAACATTAAGAGTTAACGTTCTGGTAGCGTGATGAGTCTTGTAGCCCTTTTATGTGATAAATATGGAAACGGAGAGTGAGAGAGATGAAGGACGGTAAGAGAAATGCTGCAGCACATACAAAGATACTCAACTGGATTCTATACAAATCGCTGGTCTTTGGTCTCCTCTGGCATTTTCTTAAAACAAACAACAAACAAACAGCAAGAAAGTTACAGAACATAAAACTACAAAAAGTTTTCTCATGAGGCTTCCTTTCAGGAGGTGTCTGTCAAAGAGCAGACGAGAAAAAAAGGACTTGAAACCGGAATGGGAGCATAAGTGTCTGTACAAGGAGAGAGTTCTGAGAGAAGGGAATGACGTTAAAGCCAAAAAAGTGAACATTAATACATTCTGCGTCTTGACAAGGAGTTGATCATCAAGGATCCCGTTTCCTCTTCCACATTCCAACGGATGGCCTTGTCATTCCACTGTTAATAAATGCCTCTTTAGCAAAATAGATTCCGTGTAGTTACCCTTGGACAAAAACCAGAATTTTTAAAATATATGTTCCATTTGATTTTTTCCAAAAAACGTAGAAGGTTCATGGTCATGCTTGCTTTGCGAGTTCATAAGTGCCAAACACAGAAGTGAGCTTTCACTGCCCTCTATCTGTCTTCCATCATATTTCATCTTCTCTAACAACAAAATGAAGGAAGTCCAAAGCAATGTCTACTTCGCGATGCTGATAAACACTGCCAGCTATTAGCAGTTGAAGAAAGAATAAAGAGCTCAAAGTTCAATACCCAAAATTTCTAGTATTCCTTAAAAAGGGAAAGAGAGATGCACCAAAATATCTACTCTGCTGAGACGACAAAAATAAATAATAATGCAGAAGATGAAAAAAAAAAAAAAACCCAAAACCTTGAGAGAGTCTATAAAATGCCACCTTTCCGTCCTGGAGCAGGGGCAGCTGTGGCCAGGCTGAGAGTGCACTCCTCCTGCTCAACCATCATTGGACTGGAAGCTCCTCTGAACACCGACCAGGGCCTGTTATGGAGTGTGCTGTCTGCTCATTACCTGTCGCCAGCTTCTCACTGGCTGGGCTGGAAGTCAGTCACCACGCAGGCAAGTGAGTGATCCAATCACAGGCTATGGTTTCTGTGGGCCCGGAGATAGTACGACAGGAGTGGACAGGCCATCCACACTCAGGGCTGGGATGTTGATCTGATTGCTTCCGTTAGTAGGGAACTATCAGAATGATGAAATACAGAAAAAGTGTTACACATTTCAAAGCAGTGGTGAGTTTTAAAGGGTCAGTATCACTAAACAAATTTTCCTCACTTAAAAAAAAGAAAAAGAAAAAGTTTGATGTAGTATGTGAAATGTACAATTCACTCCCCAGTCCATACATGGAAACTAAGCTTCAAAAACAGCTTGTTTTGAATTCCTTGTTTTTGTGGTGTCATGAAAACCAAGACATTAACATGCAACTCATGCTGAAGTTATAAAAAGTATTTCAGCCTGGACTGCTTTTTGAATGAGGCATAGTACAAGACAGTAGATTAGAGCAATTAGAGCAGAGGTCAGTCTTTAAGGCAGCGCATGAAACAGACTGTTTTATAAAAAAGGTTAAAACGAGGTTGGAAAATAGTTATGTTTCAACTCTCGGCTGTAAATGATTAGGATGAGAGAGTAAAAAGGGCCAGATGTATTCATGCTGTTGAAGCTGTTACAGCCACTGGCTTTAAGTTAGCCACTGTTGCCATGCTGCCAACACTGGATGATGATGAGGGTAATGTGCATGCTCAGTGGGAAAAAAAAATCTGGCAATTCTTATTCCAGTCACATGACCATACATCGGATACAGTACTGTGAAAAAGTCGGAGAAAATCACATTTAAAAAGCTATTTAACTGAACAGCTTTTTTACTTAGAAAAACACTATAATTAGAATAAATACCATTAATACAGTAAGTGTTGATTTTATGTATGTCAATGTGCTTGTATAACCATTTCCAAATCTCTCCTCAAGGAAGCCCAGTATTATTTATAGTTATCATCCAATACATGGTTTGACTAATCAATATTATTACATTAAATCAGGTGTGCTCCACAGTTCTTCTAACTAGGTCAAAAGATCTCAACTACTTTAAAAAAAAAGAAGTTAAATATATCTAATTTACTGCATTAATGTTTGCTTGTATTTATTCTCTCTCTGTTATGTAGTGTTTTTATGGGCAAAAAGGTAAATGGTTTCAAAATATTTGCTTGGGTGCCTAAGACTTTCAATCACCATATTATATAATTGAAGCACATATAAAAGTGCCTTAAACATGAAAGAAATCAGATTTTTGTATTCACATAGCTCTGAAAATGTCAGATCTGAGAATTTTTTCAGTGTAGATTCTGCTCTCTACATGGTGCAATGCATTTTTGATCCAGCAGGTGGGGCAATAACCTTCTCTAACAGACCTTTGGAGACAAAATCTAAACACGATCAAGAGATACATGAAAGACCACACATCTGTTCCCCCTGATAACTAACAAACCTCAGACCATTGAGAAGTTTGGTGAAAACATCAGTGTGTCCCTGCAGAACACCCACAGCTCACACTGACTGAAACAGAGAAATGATGCAGGTTTCACTAGCGGAAGCTTGTTGGTGATGGAGCAGTAGTGTGTCAGCAGTGTGTCCTGTCCTCAGTAATGAAGTGGTACGCTGAGAGGCAGCAGATGGCCTGACGTGGCCGTGCTGTGAAGCTGGAAACAGGAAGGAAGTCTCACCTGGAAAGAGAGCTTGGCTGGGCTTCGCGGAGCGATGGGGCTCAGAGTGCTCCAGAAGTGAATTGTGGACGGGAGGGGACTCGGCGTTAACAAGACAGGAGTCTAAAAGAGAGAGAGAAAGAGACATAAAGAGAGAAAGAGAGAGAGAGACATAAAGAGAGAAAGAGAAAGCAGGAGAGAAGAAAAAGAACAGAATGAAAGGAAAGTAAAAGGATATTTGGGAGAGAATGAGAGCGAACAAGAGAGAAAGAGAGAGAACGGAATAAAAGGAAATTTGAGAGAGAGAATAAAAGAAAATTTAAAAGAAAAGAAGATAATTAAATGAATTTTAGAAAATAGGGAGACATAAGAGAAAGAAAGAGAAAGAGTAAGAGAGAGAGAAGAGAATGAAAGGGAATTTTACAGAGTAAAATTAATGGATATTTGAGAGAGAGAGAAAGAGAAGAGAGACAGAGAAATAATAGAGAATCAAAACAGCCATTGAGAGTGAAATGCAAGTGCATGAGAGAGTGAAAAAGAATGAAAGGAAGTCAGTGTGTGTAACAGAAGGAGAGTGAGAGAGAATGAAAGAGAACAAGAGAGACCAAAATTAGAGCAAAATCTTTTAACACAGTCCTTGTCTTTCATGTCTTTGTTCTGAGATAAAAAGCTCTGCTGTCTGTTGTGGAGCCAAACGAGGCCACTAAGTATGACTGAAACACTGAAAGGAAATGTGCAAGTGACTTAGAACAGATACATTACACAAAACACAGTCATCAAATTTTGTAAACACAAAAACTCCTCTAGCGTGCTGTCAGCTGAGTACGGTGTAAGATCTTTCCTCTATAACCTTGTTGGAGGCTGTTTTCCAGACTTAGATAAGCCTAGCCTTAGACTAAACATGCTTTGTCATGGAGACGTTCCACTGATGGCTTAATCTGAGTCTGGAAACAGCATTTTTAGTTCACCTAATTTAAGGCCCACTCAGACAATTTTTATGTGTCCCCCCACCACCTAATTAAGAAACCTCCTCATAAACAGAAATGAAGCTGCATTTTCTTAATGAATAATCGCATGACGCGTCAGCACCGCCCCCGGTGTTCTTTCCCTGGGTCTGCCTCGTGGGTGGCTACTGTGGCTGTGAATTCATATGTCATGGAGCGAGAAAAGACCTCACTGCAGACGCTCAAAAACAAATCTGCTGCTGAAAATACACAACGCAACAGGAGCTCAGCATCGTCGCACAGAACTGCAAATGCCTGCTCAAGAAACAGCAGCGCCGTCCTGTTAAAGTGCATTCAACTGCATTCAAACGCATGGAACGATATACTCTATTATCATCCATTTTAAACATGCTCATGATTGAACAGTTGTGAGGTCCAAAACGTCTATCCATGGCCTGACCTCAATTCAAATGGGCATCAATGAAAGGTGAAGTAGTGCATAAACAGATGTAAAAATAATGGCTTATGATATTAAACTGGATTAGAAATAAGTTCCTCTGTAAATGAGTTTCAATCTACAATTTCAATTTCATGTTGACTGGACCAAGAGAGATGCTCCAAAATAACCTCTTTACACTACCCTACATTAATAATTAAGAATGTTCTTGTGTTCTCCTGTAAAGTCACTATTTTGGAGGAACCTGTTTTTCTTTGGACAGTGATAACATGTTGAACAGAAGATTACACAAAAGCCTTCAACATAAAAATGTATAACGTAAATGTCACCCTTCACTCCGTCCAGAACTCCAACTCACAGAATCCTCTGTGGGATCACATGACCACAGACTCTCAGCCTATCAACCTATCAGCTCCAGATCACCTGATTATTGTTTGTTGTCACCTGTTTATGTGCCCATATAACCTGTTTGCTTCCATAGTCTCCTTGTAAAGTACTGTATCAGTCTCCTGTGCATTACTGAGCCTTTTGTTCCAGTGTTTGACTTCCCGGTTTGTTTTCTCCCTTGTTTTTCTTGTTTAGGATTCTAGCCCGACTCCTTTTTGACTCTGTTTGCCTCTTTCCTGCTGTGACCTTTTGCTCGTTTCTTGCACTCTGACTTAGCTTAGCCTGTATTGCCCCGCTTGCCTGTGTATGACCCTTTGCCTGTTTTTGTACTTTGTTTTTGGATTGACATTTTAACCACAACCTGCTCTGCGAGCGTCTGACGCCTACAAAGCCGTCACAATGTATAATATATATCACTGTTTCATCTGTCCACTCTTTACTTTTGTGCATCCACTTTAACTTTTCCATCTTTCTAATCTTAAAATCAACCAGTTACAGCTGTGTCCTTTCAACAAAAGCTGTTCCCAAAGCCCTGTCACTGTCATTGTTACCCTTCAAAGAAACACTTAACATTCACACAAGCAGCTACTCAAGCACCTTAGCTCTCATGTGCATCAAAAATGGCTAAAAATGTATTTCTGGAGAAATCAGACGTAAGATCAGGAACTCACAGTTACTGTAAGTTACTTAACCATAAGGACAGCATGCCACAGGAGACACAAACAAAATTGATCTGGCTCAAAAATACTTGACTTATCCTTTAACGTTGGTGACTTGGTTCAAAGTGGTGTGGGTGGAGGCCATGCCAATATGGATTGGACTGGAAATAACAACTACAGAACTGTTATTTGACACATATCTACTATGCATCTGATCTTTTCATTGATGTCTAATAGCAAGCCACACTAGATAGTTTATTTGTCCACAAGGAGGAAATTCTTTCCCACGGTAGGTGCATTTAAAACATAAGCATACAAAATACAAAATAGTACACACGGTAGGTGCACACATAACATGAACAAACAAAATACAGAGTAGCATACAGAGATAAAAACAGGAATACAAGGGTCAAACCACAAAAGCTAAAAAAAGACATGGCTTAATTTATATAATTTACATATTTAAACTGATCTTTAATTGTTCTCAGCAGCATCTCTAAACCTACAAATCAGACCAAGCACTGCTATCACTTTACCCTGCTACTAGTCATTTTCAGCAAAACTTCCCCTTTTATTTCTAAACGTGTGCTTGTGAATGTGAATCTCTTCCAGACCAAGTTGCTCTGCGGCCAGTGCAGGTCACTCACCAGGGCGTGTGAGGTGATGACGGTAGGTGTGAGGGTGTTAGTGGAGCTGCCTGGGGCCAGAAGGCTGTTGACCGCAGCGTTGACCTTATCCAGCGAAAAGCCAGGGGCCAGCTGTGAAGGAGAAGAAGGAAGCTCCAGCACACGAGGCTTTTTTGATTTCGGAGGCTGGACTTCCTGTGTGGACACTGGTTGGGATGCTGGAGGGGTATTGGTGTCCTCTGCTGGGTCATAACAATAAGGAGTGCGGTATTATTCTCTGAAGAACTTCAAAAAGAAATCAAAAACTGTTCAGGGGCCCAATTTCCCAAAAGCACCATAGAACAAATATAACTGTATAGCCTAGGGCTCATCACTCCTACAGCATCTAATAAACAGCAATTATTACAAACATTATACAAAGACTACAAATGTTAATGTTAAGCCAAGGGCTATTTTTGCATCAGAACTCTTTACAACGCCTCCCCCCACTTCACACTGGTTCTTTTTAGCCAGTTAGTTCTTTCCCTTTGCATTCTACGAGGCATAGATACATCATAACATCAAATACACAAGCTGCTAGCTTCTGCAAAAAGTATGGCGTGACATACCAGGCTGCTCTGGCTTGTCTTTCAGCTCTCCCTCTACTACTGGCTGTGCCACGGGCTCTGGGCAGGGTGGGGGTGCGTCCACAGGGACCGGAGCCTCCGTGGCCACTGGAGCAGATGTGGACACAGTCTGGAAAAAAGGAGTGAGAATATGATAACAGGACAACAGACATACAACAACAGATGTTTTCTCAGTTATTTAAGCAGCTGAATCACCATGTGACATATTGTAAGAACAAAACATCTCAGACTAAAGGAGCACTGAGAACTCATGAACTCGTAAACCTGTGAATTTCTAAGTTTACCACAAGGAAGCTGCACTTGAAAAGCCGACAATACAAACTGTAAACTCTGACAAGTTCCACATTACACGAGTTTCGATGTATCACCAGCCGTGTGCTGTTCACATGTTAAATTCACCAGTTGCCAATGATTACTTGAATACAAAAAAGCTGGTACATTTGGTGACATCAACTTCATATGTGTAATGTAGCTGAAGGGTTTCAGTTCAAAATGCATTACGCACCACTTTCAAGAATTTTATTTTTTTCATGATATACACTGTTGAGAGTGGGCTTTACATATTCTTTTTTACTATGGTTAATAACACCTCTGTTCAAATGTATATAAATCACTTTGGAATGAAACAAATCTTCATTTATTCTGTGTTTATTCTGCGTCTCATGTTTGTTGGCTATTGTTGCATCCAAACTTCCCATCAATAAATCTATACAAAGTATAGCTCGCTACCTATGAGTTGATGAAGACCATCCAAACACAGCTTAAAAGTTTAGAAACCACAGGTTAATAACTAAAGTATGGAAGGCGCTTCCATATTAGATTTTTTTTTAAACAAAAAAAAACATACACCAAAATTTGAAAACGAACACACACGCATGTTAATGCTGTCTTTTACACTGAGTCTGAAATTGATGGACTGCAACCCTGGGTTAAGCTTTTAATTAGAGCTAGCTCGTTTTCTGCATTGTATGAATGTGTTGGAAATCGGAAATTCGGCCGACCATTCACAGCTCCGTTGTCATGGTTGCAGCACAATCAAACGTGCATCATTAAGAACTGCAAACTCTTAACATCCCTCGCTAAAATGCTCCTTGTCTTCATTGTTTTATGTTAAAACCACGGCAAAATCTCTGCTCAGAAACACAAGAGAAATAAAAGAAAACAAAAGCTAGCAGGAAGCAGAGAAACAGAAAGCATGGAACTTCGTGAGCGCTATATGGAGCCCGATTTACAGAGAACAGAATGAAATGCTGAAAGATGTTGTATTTTATGTTACATGTTTAAAAAAGATGTTGGACTGAATGTGAAGGTTCCACTCAAAAAATGCATCTATTTTGTTCGTCTGTAAGAATCAGATTTGGTGTGAACATTCCTTTACACTAAAATACTTCATGTGTTTGAAGCAGTTCTACAGAAAGAAGGCTGAAGTTAGATCCTAAAGGCTCTAGTATATCTTGTGACTGCCTGATGTGAGTAAAGCACTAGTCTACCTCTGCTTATCTCTCACCTCAGCTTCAGGTTTGACATCCAGATCCACAATTTCCAGCAGGTCTTCTCCAGCTGAGAGGCTGGGCTCTTTGGCTCCTCCAACAGGTGACTGCTTTATTACCACAAAGACAGGATGGCCCTGGGGAGGGTTGACCACACAGTCCCCAGCAGCTACAGGAGTCAGCGGGATGAGAGGGGTCAGCGAGCCCGGGTCAGACACGCTGGTCAGGTAGATCTGCGGAGGATCACCTAATCCCTGGCTCTTCTGTGTCTGAACGTTCTGCAAAAACAGAGAGGGGTGAGTATAAAACATAAACCTATATTTCTTAAGCAGATGGTGGTGAGAACCCTGATTCGGTTCTCTGTCCATGTCTTTATTTCCATTTGGATGATAAAAGAAACAACTGATCCTAGATCTGTTTTCTTGTTTTCAGAGGTTTGAGAAATATGGGAGACTGTTACTCACAACAGACCTTCCACACCAGGGCCTATTGAGACATAACAGGTCCAGGGCCAACACAGCATGACAATGACATGGATTTGACAAAACGCATTGGCTAACACTATGCCTTAGCTGCCAAATAAGCTGCTGAGACAACAGCAGTCATTAAAAATATGTTTGCTTTGTGAGACTGAATCACAACAAAAGTAAACAAAGCCAAAAAGACTACTTGATATTATAATGCAATTGTTTATAGTACAGTAATATTCTTATAGTCAATATGTGGAGGCTGTGTGCCCCCCCGCCAGCCTTGGCACAAATAGGACTCAGCAAGGCATTGTGCTGAAAAATCTGCTACTAGGGCACATTTTGAAAGATGAAAATAATCAGGAAAGTGAGATCCAAGAACCAGCCAAATGGTACAGATATCTAAGTGATTTAGGGCTGCAAAGATCAGTCAACAGAACTGATTGCTTAATAACAAAAGTGAGTTCAAAACAAAAGCACTCTATAACGGTCTATAATGTTCATACTACTTCATTCACTAGCAATGAATGGCAAACATAACTTTCGAACTTTCAGTAGCCCATCAGTATATATTCCAGTCATTTCACTGACTTTTTAGTCATTTAATCATGAACACAATGTAATTATCAGCCCCTCATTTTAAACAAAACCAGGTTCTTATGTAGTTTATGTTTAATACTGTTTTGGGCCATTTACTGTATATATGTACTGATGTCTGGCCCTACCTATCAGTACTCCTACTCAGTGTTACACGGTCAATACAAGCAACACTTGCATCAATATCAGTATCAATATAGATAACATAAGAAGTAGTGTAATTTAGTAGTTGTTAATAGAAATAAGTGCAGTGTACCTTAACAGTAAAAGCATCAAAATCTAGCTGATTTTAAATAAAGTACATTTGCTAGCTATGTTACATCAGTTACCTAGAATCGAGAAGTGTTGCAGTGGAGAAGAGTGGGTTTTGTTCCACATCAGAAAAGCGCTTCAGCTGCAAGCAAAGTATGTTTCATAGTTTTGATCGCCACTCCTCATCAGTCTCATTCAACAACAGTCTCTGTAGCACAGTGACAGCAGGAATCACATCTGAGGCTAATCTGAGGAACTTACTTTTTGTTGTCACTTACTGGTTGAGTTTGTGTTGAATGTCCCCTGTAGCCGGTAAATTCTCTGATTTAAGAAATCTGGTTCTTTGGTGACAGCTCACACTGTACGTTTTAATAGACCATCGTGAACAGACAAAACCTCAATTTAAATGCTCACACTGTGCGAAAACGCTTGGTCTGACTGACATCTCTCTCAGCTCTGTATATGAACAATTTCCAATAAATCTGTTTTATTCAAAATAATCTGCCAAGGTGGAATGTTTAAACTGACCAATGACGTTGCGTTCGACCGCCATAGTGTCGGCAACACTTCTCTGTAAGAGCAGACCCTTGTTCACTGCCAGCTTGAGCTGTTTGTTTATTAGCACAGCATAATCTGTGTGCTATGCTTATGTCACATGGTATCAGGTGGCATCAGCTGGGATCTCAGTGCAGTTGGTATCCTTGGTTTTATGCTTGTCAGTTAATGATTTGTTCGGCAACACAGTGGAAAAAGTCAAACAAGCCATGCAGAGAAAAGTTAAGATGGCCCAGAGGATCACCGGAGCAGAACTTCCAACTACAGAGACACTGGATGCAGAGCACCGTAGGAACAGAGCTCATGCTGTCCTCAGTGATGCCTCGCATCCAGGTCATAATCTATTTACCTGGCACAGCACCAAATTACAGCCTTAAATGCCAAAACCTGAGACCATCATGACCTGAATGAACAGATTTACTAACAGTTTCTACCCTAGGACAGTACTGATCTTAATTAATTGCAGAGTAATGACAGTTAGTTCTCTGTCAGAACAATTTGCAAAAATCTTTATTGTTAGTAACGACAGCAAAATTACTGGTCATATACTCACGGTAGCGGCAGCAGAAGAACTGGAGGGCGTTTGTGGACTGAGGGCAGGTGTGGCACATGGTGAGGGGTGGGTCACTATTACTTGCAGACTACTGTTGTCCACTGTTGGTGGACTCTGCATTGCACTCGGCTGCCCTTCAGGCTGACACACTCGCACCTAATGAAAACACACACACCAACGCCACCAATAACATAAATCCCACCCAAAAAAAGACACACATTTTATTCTACACTGAAACTCCAGAAACTCTTTGCTATAAAGTGACCGTTTGACCTAAAATCTCATTTATAAAACCTTACCCCAAATGCAGTGGATCAGCCAAGACATGTTTGGTGTCTAAAGTTTGCTTCTTAGGTTTTGCACTGGAGCTAATGTAGATAATAAGCAATGGAAGCTTAAACCCTACTATTTAGTACTGTGCAAACTGCACATCAACCTTGAATCCTTGTTGAGTAATAACAGATGCAAGAGTTGTTATCTGAAACAAACTTGCTTTTACATCACATGGCTGTCAGCAACTTGAATTTTGTCTGTAGTTTTGTTCCTCTTTTTATACGTAACGGTGCATCATACAGTGTCAGAAACCACATAAGCAAGTCTATTTAACACCTTGATGCATGCACAATGCCAACTGGTGCACATAAACTTTCATTACTTTAGCTACATTAGCTTTGTGGCTCAAGTGTGAACCTACAACAAAAAGGTGTTGCTTTGAGTTTACTTGATTCAAATGTGTACATTTCATCAACCAAGCACCACAAGTAAGTAAAATGAACAACGGCATTAGGGTTGATGTTATATCTTTCATTCAGGTGGAATCAATGTTTATATCTTAATCAAATAAATTCAAAGTAAGCTTTTTTCAGTGTAAAGAAGCAGCATGTTTGGGCTCATCAACTACATTTGGAGTATGGGAAAACTGTGTAAATTGCATTAACATTAATCCCAGGAGTGTTCCTCCCCCTGGCGGTCTCACCTCGTGCACTGGCCGGTCCAGGGTGGCTGGTTTGGGTGTGTTGTCCACTGGGAGCTCTGTTTTGATGGGTTTGGGGGAGCTTTTGCAGGGTGTCTGAAGGGACTGGATAGTGAAGGTGGAGTAGAGGCCGGACTTCATATAGTCATTGCGGGAGCTACGCTGTACTGAGCTGGGGGAAGAGCGCTGCGTCTGCAGGTTCTTGGACAGGCAGCCTGTGGTGGCACCAGCACCCCCTGCTGATTTGGGCTGAACAGACACCTCCACCTTCTCCCCACCCCCAACCCTTTGGCCGTCCTCGGGCCCTCGGAGCCCATCGGCCGAATTAGGGTCAGGAAAGGTCACGAACTTGTAGACGAACTTCTGACCGCTTACTTTCTTTATTATGTTCTATTTAAAACACCAGAGCAATAGTCAAATTAGTCAAGTGAATTCTATGGTGAATTTGTAAAACACGTAAATGTATTAGTGAACAGTCCGGTCTCAGAACCACTATTTCCCCCTACTACTATGATCTTTCACTGGGGGCAGGTAATATGACCCTTCGTTAACAGTATCACAACACTGTCACTTTTCGATTTACCAGCAATCCGTTCTGAAAATCTGTTGATGGGACCTTAAAATTGTTTAAATCTGCCACCAGTGGAGTTAGAGACCTTTGTGTGTGCCCAAGATTAAGAGGACTCCATGTATTGTTGGATTTGAGTTTATTCAGAGCACAGATCGGATCAGTAAGCACTTATTATTTGTGTAATCAGAGTATCTATAAACATGACCAGTGTAAAGGTAGTTTCTGAGACAAATCAATTAAAAATCTAGTTTTATTTTTATTAAATCACAGCACTGAAAATCACAATTAACTGAGAAGATTAAACATTTTAGTGTCAGTCTTAAAGGAGCTGCCTGGATGTTAGCCCATTATGGCAGTATCTTATTTGTTAATTTTTGATTTTTCCTCTTGTTCTTTATTTGAATTTCAATGCAAAAATGGCACATTGGCAAGTAAAAGCACCTTAAATCAAGTTGATACATCTAATACTTGTCATTTAGAGAAATAAATGAGTTTATTCAATTTATTTCTCAAATGTTTGTTACTTGTTTAAGTAATTTTATCAAAAGACATTTTCTTATTCTAGTGGCAAATCATTTTGCTTAAAGTAAAATTATCTGCCAATAGAAAATGACAGTTTCAGTAGACAAAAATGAACAAAAAATGAAAGCAAAATTGTATAGAAATAAGCTAATCTTAGAATATCCTTAAAGCAATCTCAAAATGAGAAAAATTAAACATACCAACCTAGATCTAAAATGATTTAATTTGCCAAGAAATTATTTTTCGCAGTGTACTGATTTTCTTAAGTGGTATATTTGTTCAAACTTGCTAGCAAACATCAGAAAAACGTTTGTGATATGTGACACGATATGTACTGCATCTTGTGAAGATGTCTTTTATTGCAATATTGCATTTTTGCCACATCGCCCGCCTTTACTCTCTGCACTAGTTTCCTAGCCACAGAGTGAGAGAGACTGTTATATTAAAAGTCAAGTCCCTCTAAGGACAGTGACTCATTTTCAGGCCTTTCTCCCTCTCTCTCCCTCTCCCTCTTTCTCTCCCTCTCACACATAAATACATCAAGCCTAAGCTGGTTCGAGGCTAAATGGATTTCCAAAAGAGAAAACCACAAAATAGTACAAGTGTGGATCTGTAAAACCTACACACTCTGCCACTGTCTCAATATCCACACACTCTCACCTTATCGTAGTAGTAGCGCAGAGCGCGGCTCAGCTTGTCGTAGTTCATGTTGGTTTTATTTTTTCGGAGCCCCCAGAGCCGTGCCACCTCCTCAGCATCGAGCAGCTTAAACTCACCATCGCCAGATGTCCAAGAGATCAGGTGCCGGTGGCTCTGATCATCTAGCAGGTGCAGCAGGAACTGCCACAGAGTGATGGATGGATCCATAGCTGCAAAATAAAATAAGTAAATAAAAAAATAACCCCAAAACTAGTAAACATTCTAAGTTTAGTTCCTCGTGATGCCACAGACATTTGTGGCCAAGAGAGCATAACTATCATCTTTCTCTTGCTCTGCAAGGGTAGGATGCCTTTCCCTCTCCCTCTCTGCACTCAGCATGATGCTAGCTAATGTTAATACAGCAGATTTAGCAGTTAGTGTTCTCCTCCAAGCGTGTTGAGCTGTGCAATGACACTGCATTGGCAGCAGTTCAAAAGATGTGGTGGCACTTCATGCGTCCTGGAGGAAGTGCAGGATAACCTTCACCCTCCTAGCTTGGTACTATTGTGTGACAGGAGACCTACCTAGATGTTAAAACTGGACACATTTAAATTAGGGAGAATTGAACTTATTTTAAAAAATTGGTGTTTTCCAGAATTTATTTAATTATCAGCAATTATCATAGCTAAAAATGACCTTTTGACACATAAAACAAAGGGATGAATAATTTGGGCAAAACATCCAGTGTCCATAAGTATTTATGGCATTTATTTTCTATAAACTGAGGTCCAGACCTGCTTTTTAGGCCAGAAAGACCAGAATATCCACTTTTTTTTTGGGTTGAGGCTGGAACGAAGTGCGCCAGACAGTTGTGCGCCAGACAGTTGTGATGACAGAGCACTTAGGTGTTTGAATACTTCTGATTAGTCTGTTCTTTTCCCCATTTACTCTAGTTCATTTTACATTTAAGCTCTTTTTCTGAACATTCTAAGGACAAGTGCAAACACTAGAAAGTATTTGTCCTGTCGGTGTATTTTGCCGTTAACATATCTATAGGCAGTTCACAAGCTCTGTGTCATTAGGTTAAAATGTTCACACTTATAACTTGAGACAATATTGATAAAAATGTAGGTTATAATAAATATTTTAACAAATGACATTTTGATATAAAAACAATTAATATTTAAGCCCTAATAAAATAAGTTATTTTTTGTGGTGAACACCTTAATTATTAAATTATGACTTGGCTGCCTGATAGACTAATAGCTTTTTTCAGAGTGTGTACTCTTACAACTACCGTATTATATTGAAATGCATACAGTCCATATACGGAAACAAAGCTGCAGAAACAGCTCTACCTAAATTCATTCTTTTTGTAATGCCACAAAAACCACATATATGTACCTACTTAGTCTACAGAAATTTAGCCCCACCCATTCACACTGAAATTATACGGAGTGCTTCAGCATGCAATCCTTTTTGAATGAGACACAATACAGTACACCCAATCAAAACAGCAGTAATTTACATGTATCAGTCTTAAAGGCAAAGAAACAAACTGACCTGTTTAGTTGAGGGATACAAAGAGATTAGAAAAGAGTCATGTAATAATGAATTACAACTGTTTATGGTACATAAAACCCTGCAAACATATAAGTGGATCTCAAGGAGAAAATGTAGGTTATAGGCCCTCTAAAAGCAGCAAAATAATAAGGAGAAACTAAGCTATATGTCAGGGGCATGTATATGTCAGGGGTACGGTTGTACAAGCAATGCCTGGAAAACCACCTTTCTGAGATAGAGCGAGCAGAGCCAGAGTGCAGTGACCTCCTATTCAGATATCAGAGCCATGTGACCTGCTGTCAGCTCCACAACTTTGAAGTGCAACAGTGCGAGCGAGGCCAAGACTGAGATAAGGCTGTCATTATGCAGAGTTGAATATGTAAAGCTCCACCGTGCAGTCAGAGCATTTTTGTTCATGAAGCGAGAGAAACCTGTTCCGATCCCCCATCATCATACATGTGAAAGTTCATTTACTACTCAGGGGAGTTTTAACCCTTCGAAGCCTGGAGTTATGACTTTTGTTCTGCTTTAAAATGTATTTCAAATTACACAATTATTTAAATGTAATTATTTAATTACTTAATTAATTAATTTCCCATTCAAATTACATTCTGTATCAAAAGACTTGAGTCTGCACTTCTGACTTTTTTTCCTGAATATTTCACAAAATGAGAAAGATGTCGAAAAAAATATTAAGGAAAAATTTTCTTTACACCAAATATGACTATAGGCACAACAATAACTCTGATTCATTAAATTCAAAATGTCATAATAAAATGTCCTCTTCTACTAACAAACATAAATATGAAAATATCAAATTAAACTTTAGAATTTCAGAAACACAACTGAATTTGAGATTTATAACAAAAAGTCAGAGACCAACCTTTCATTTATTCAACTTCCAATAAACGATTATTCAGTTTTCAGTGTCAGAAAAACAGCAGGAAATATATAAAGCATTCTATGGTATATTTATATCATATAGCATGCTTCTAATCTTCTAAGGGTACTTATGCTAATGTTTATACATAATCAGTAATGCAGCTACGAATCATCAGCTTAAATGGTGATCAAATAAGTCATACCACATGGACAGAAAAAGCCCAGGCAAAGGCCAAAACGGACTGTGCGAGAGATAAAAGGGAATATGTAAAGTTGCATCATTCAGCAGCAGTGTGTTTACTGGTGAGGCGAGAGATCCAGTTTCGATCCCTGGTCATCACACATGAAATTTGCATTTATTTCTCAGTGGAGCTTTAATATATTAGTATGCAGCTAAGCATCATCAGCTAACACTTCTTAGTCGTATTAACACTTTGATGCAGCAGCAAAAAAATGCAGCTATTTCTGCCTTTTAATCCGCTCTTCTCTTTTAATAATGTGATTTCTCAATGCTGTTCTCACAATTATTTTGCTATGTAAATAACATAGTGTAACCACGAAGACTTCACTGAAGATCTAACAAGAAATTAATTTGTTTTTGTTTAATTTGTATCACAAGCTACCTATTTCAACAAAATAATAATCAAGAATATACAGTACCGTTTAAGTTAAAGGGGAATTCCACAGATTTAAAAAATGTATAATTAAATGGTGTTGTAAGTTGTAAGCAAAGTCATTCAGAGTGGTTTGATGTGAAATGCTCTGTTCTAGAGAAACTTACTGAGTCACAAATGATCGCAATGGTGGTGATAAGAACCAAACATTTGAAGTATGTATGACAACTCTGAAAGCTCCCTCATAGAAAGTTATTATATGAAATGGTTAGAAATACGTTGCTTGATGCCTGATACACTGTTTTACGATAATTTTGACATAAGCTTTTGGGCTAGTTATTTTTTTTCAATCCATTCATGATGAAAAGGTACATGGCTGTTGTATGGCAAAATGGTACACCAAAGAAAATGATTTTTTTGATGTACCACAATTCAAATATTATCAGCACAAAAACTCAGAAGACACGTGGGCTCACTGGTTGTTTTGGACAGTAAAAATGGCTATATTTGCCATGTAGACGTCATAACCCTCAGTTCCTATCACCACCACTGTAAAGAGAACCTAAGCTGGTAGGTTTCTCTACAACAATCCGTTTCAGACCAAACCATTCTGAATGACATTCATCTTTAACCATGTTATTAAATAGAACAGAAAAATATAACAGAAAATTACACAGAAGCCCCAACAACTAAATATAATTTTTTTCAGTAGTTATTGTGTCCACCCTTTGACTTCATTGCAGCTTTCTTTCTTTTCAGAAGACTCACTTTCAGTTTTTCAAACAAACCTGTGGGGATATTTTTCACACCTCCTACGTTCAGTCTTAGAAGTTGGTTGCATTTTCTGCTTCTCACCCTCCAAGTAAGAAGCTGAGGTGTTCTCACAGTGGAATGATGGACAGAAACACTTTTATTTTCCCCTGTTTCTCGAAGATGAAAACATTAAGTACTGTTTTTTTTGATGGAGACAGTTTTAGTCGTCTACTAGGTCTTGCACAGTTCTTAGGAGTCTCATTTTCTCTGTATCTTTTGATCATATTTTGAACTCCAGTTTTTGAAACTCTTGTTTTTTACTTACTTTACTTTTCTCTTCCTTATGCAAGTGGATTATCTTACATCTAAAGTTCTCAGAACATTAGTTAATCACATCAATCTCTTATACATTTAATAAAGTTTAATTTATAGTGTGTATGTTATTATAAGTTAAAATGTATCTCCAACCATAGGTTAGGTAAAATACGATTAATGGAATTGAAATCAGTTTGAGATCATTTCACCACTGTTGACTCTGGTGCCTAATATGGAGAATAGAGTTCTACACTGCTGGTCACAGAGCAGCTATTATATTCAACCTGGGCTTTATACCGAGAGTCATCAGGGAAAAGGAAACAGGGCAGAAAAAAAACACAGCAGGAGCCTGAGTGCAGAGGACGCGTTTCACAAGTTAAAGGAAGAACATGTTGAGAATGCAAATTAACCTTATTACCATTCCCCCCCCCTCCAATTACGTAACTCATATCAAACACCTTAGAAACTATCACCATGGTAAAAGCGTTTAAGCAACAGTTACTAGGGAATGGAGGGAGATTGTTTTCAGTCCCCTCTTAAATCCACTGAACAGCATCAATAGCAGTTGAACGGCTGGCCTGCAACATAATTAGGGGAACTGCTGCAATTTCAAGAGCATACACAGATTCTAATGACTCAATAACAAGCTTAAAATTAAACGAATGTTTTTTGACTTGGCTTGTTGACAAGTGAGCAAAATGTCTTCACTTAAATCTGTCTCAGAGTGAAAAGCACATCATAAACTTTTGGGCAAATTCACAGTACTGTGCAAAAGTCAGAGACCACCATTCATTTATTTAATTTCCAGTCAAAATGGACATTGAGTACAATTTATTTATTTTTATATTATTAAATTTCTCAGGAGATTGGATGTAGAATAATCCACTTCCACAAGAAAGAAGAAAATAAGTGAAAAAAAAACAGTTAAAAAAATAATTAATGGAGACCATCAAAACTGTCCCTATCATCTTTGAGAAAGAGGAGCAAATCAAGCTCCACTCATGCTTCAGACCTGAAAAAATCTATGGGTGCTTCTGTCCATCCTTCCACTGTTAGGAGACAGCTCAGCGCTATGGGTCTGAAAGGATGTGCAGTTGTCAAGA